AGTAATCACTAATGATAATAATCGGCAGGGGGTTGTATATCGATTGTAATCTAGGGGATTACTATCGATATATAGCATCTTTTAAATTTTGCTGATGAATACAAGATATAATTAACAGAATAAACCCAACTGCAAATCAAAAAATAGGATCAACAATAAACTTATTAGATGCTGTGATATTATCAGCATCACTAATAAGAAGAAAAAATATAACTTATCATACACGACAACAACTAGAAAAAGATAAAATATTATTAGATCTAACAGATATACATACATATATTGAAAACTTCTTATTAAATCTAAATAGATTAGAAAAAAAATCATTTATATCAATAGAAATAATAAGAATAATACAAGCCTCACTTGTATCAATACAACTACTGTTACAAAACAAAGAAGTAACAAGAAGCAAATACGAACTCCACGAAACAATAATTTCAACTAAAGAAGCTTTAAAACATGAACAAACACTTAACAGAGCACATTTAACATACGAACAAATAGAAGTAACAAAAAGAACTAATAAAAAGATAATAAATAATCCAAGACTTTACCGAAGTACTGAAGAAGATACTGCCGAAGTAATAGGACTTTCAGAAGAATATCCTTACCAAGAAATATTCTTTAGAAATATAGAACACGAAAACCTTTACGAAAAAACCAGAAATAAAGAATCAATAAACCTCTAAATGACTATCCTATCAGAAAAGGAATAAACATTCTTAGAAGAAATAATTAAAATAGATAAACAACAAATAACTGTTTACGGAAAATTACCTGAATGAAACGAAATATATACCATAGGAAAAGGAAATTATATCCTTGACAGAATAAAAACCCCACCTTCAAAAGAAACAGTATTTACAATACGGAAAGCATATATCAGAATAGAACAAGTAATTAAAAAAATACAACTATTAGAAATATCTCTCTTAGAAGAAAAAGAAGGACTTACCTTACAAAACACTTTCGAAAATAAAAAATATACCAATCTATTTCTATTCATTAAAGAAATACGAGAATTGAAACTAATACAAAAAGGACTGCAACAATATTTATTTGACAATAGATTTATATCTGACGATAGTGACAACTATCTAGCCCAAGACGCAAGACAAAGAGCTAACTATATTAAAGCAAGATTAAACAAATATCAAAGAACTGGAGAAACAACAAATCTAGCATACAGAATAGACTACCCATCAGATGAATATTAATCACATAAACAAAAAAACAAAAACTTCAGAAAAATACTCAGAAGAAGAATTACATTATTACTCTGAACTATATTCATTACGAACAACTAAAACATCTATATTATTAGGAGAATACTCAACTGAAACACAATTGATATTTACACCAAAAGCAATATACGATGAATACCATTATATTTTAGTAAAGAAACAAATATTAAGAATAACATTCTTAGAACACAATGATTATATTAAAACATTCTACAAAGAAAAACACCTACAAGACCTTATACTACAAATATTACAATTCTACCAAAGTACAAGAAACAGACACGCAGAATTGTTTTATAAACAAAATAATAAACATTTAACAATAAAAAATCTAGAAGAATTTAAACAAGTTCATCTCATTACCGAAAAAATAATAACACTTCAAGAGAAATTAATAAAAATAAATACAAAACCAAATCATTATTCAGTAGATGAACAAATTAGAAGAAAATTACAACAATTAAAAGGATTACTTTTAAAAGAACTAGAATACATATTCTATAATATAATATCTACAAAACTGGCAAAAGAAAAAATATCAGAACCAAACGAAGTGTATAACTGGATAACAGTAAACAACTATGAATATCAAGGATACTATAACCAACTACTAGCTCATAGTACTATCGACTATAACTCAGAGGAAAACCATAGACAACATACATTTAACCTTATAGACCAATATATACAAAATAGAAAATCAATCAACAATCAAATTATTGCAAGTTGTGATATTTAGATATAACAATGAAGGATTACCAAAAATATTATTAGCACAATGAATAAATCCTGACAAAATATATTACTTCTGGTATGGTATACCTGGAGGCAAACAAGAATATTCATATGAAACATTCGAACGAATAGCAGAAAGAGAAACTTTAGAAGAAACAGGAATACTCATATATCAAGAAAAACTAATAGAAATTGGACATAGTTATTATCCACAGGAATACTCATATATCAAGAAAAACTAATAGAAATTGGACATAGTTATTATCCACCAAAAGATACTAATGGTAATAATACTGAAAACGCAACTGAAATAAAAACATATATTTACCCTGCGAATAACCAAGATCCACTACAAATGGAACTAAACAACCACGGAATATGGAAATACTATACAAAAGCAGAAATATTAGACCATATAATAATAACACCAGAATTACAACTGCAACTCAATTTAATATTTTATTCAATTGAGCATTACCAAAAAATACTAGACTTCAAATACAAAGAAGAAGAAGTCGACTCTGAAAACGAAGAACAATTTGAAAAACTAGAATTACCTAACTTCACTCTAAACGAAGCAACCGACTTTATAAATAAATCATTTGAAAATATACAACCAGTAGAAGTATACCAAGTAAAGAAAACAATCCGAAGCATTGAAAAACAAATATATCAATTAAAAGAAACTCAGAAAAAACTTAATTTGAAATTAAAAAAATACTACCAACGAAGATTTACTACAATCTTCCGATCATCGCAAAGACCCCAAGTATTACAAAACTTAGGAAATGGACCAACACTATCACGACTCCATAAGTCCGAAATACGTAGCATATCAACTGATTAAAAATGAAAAATTCAAATTTAGAATTGTGCAACAAGAAAACTTCGCCAATGGAACAATCGGCGGAATCAAAATACGACCACTAACGCACAAACAATATAAATATGAAGCAACAATAGAAGATCTCATAATAACATACCCGCACTATATTATGATGTAAATAAATACAAATCAGAAGATCAAATTACCAAAATTAATAAAATACCGGTAATACAAATCCGAACATGTCTAACTGTTACTGACCCCGCCACCTGTCCAGGAGGGACCGTCCAAATGTGGAAATGATTTCAGAATGACTCCACGTGATTGTTGACCAATCATATGAGTGTCGCTAAAAGAAAACCCGAAAATTTAAATTTAAATTTTCGGGTTTTCTTTTAGCGACACTCATATCGTAAGTCATCTGAAAATCAGCCAATCAGATTGCAAAAAAAAAAAAGTTGTGAAAGGCGAAGTAAAAGTATTTAATATTTTGATCACGTTTTTAGAAAGCTAAGCTACCCGAGATTACTAAAAAAAAAAAAAAATTGTATTACAGTAGAAAAATGCAATGTAAATTAGTAAAAGAAAAATGGGTTAACCGCTTTGAAAAACTACTGCAAATAAGTGACATATCTTTGATTTCAAACACGAATGAATAATAGTAGCAGTCTCCTTTGAGTATTCCTTTAGTTGTTATTGTTATCATATTTCATAAATTGTATTGTCTTGTTCCTGTGACCACCGCAGCAATTGTAAAATTTAAAACACCCTATTCTCGGACTAAATCAAGCCACACCTCAATCGAAGCATACCAGCTAGGGTGTAAAGACAAGATTTTAGGAGATTTAGTTGGACTTCCGCGTATAATGACGCTTGTATAGTGCCCTTAGAAAAGATATCACAGTTACATGAAAAAACAACATGAAGTTTCTAAACATGTAAATTTATTGCTTAGCAAATTAATAACAGTAACATATCATTACAATACATATATTGAAGATAATGCATCATTATCCGATACCCTACTATGATCGGGACTATCAAATGATTACAGTTATTTGGTAATTTTTAGGGTGTTCTCAAGCAGCACGCTCGATACGATTAGCTAGTGATTGTGATAGTGCACAACCATTATAGTAATATTTAATTAAACCATCGTTGAGTTCAATAGGACGAATGGTAGTATAATTGGATTACGCGCACGTATCTTCCTCGATGTGATTAGTTTATGATCGTGATGATGCTCAAGTATTACGATAAATTAAAATATTGATTGC